TCTTCTGAAAATTCAGTACAGGGTATTCCTTCTGAAGTCATCACCACCTTTCCCTCAGTTTCTTCTTCGGAGGAATATTTTGGCAGCTCCATTTCTGGAGGAGATCCAGATGCACATGTCTGGAATGCATCTTCTCTGGTACATCTTCCTGCTGATTCTTCTGAAAATTCAGTAGAGGAGATGCATTCTGAAATCATCGGCTTTTCCTCAGTTTCTTCTTCAGATAAAGATTTTGGCAGCTCCATTTCTGGAGGGGATCCAGATGCACCTATCTGGAGTGCACCTTCTGTTGTGCATCTTCCTTCTGTTTCTGCTGGAAATTCAGTAGAGGGGATGCTTTCTGAAGGCATCACCTTTTCCTCAGTTTCTTCTGATGAAAATTTTGGCAGCTCCATTTCTAGAGCGGATCCAGATGCATCTGTCTGGAGTGGACTTTCCCTGGTACATTTCCCTGCTGATTCTTCTAGCACTAAATCTATTTTCTCTGGAAATGCCGTTTTATCTGCATCAGGATACAGAAGTGCAGCTTCACTTTTCTGCTTTGAAAGAGTCCTGGACTCTTGTTTAAACTGAGCAACTGCATTCTGGATTATTATCTGCACAAGTTTATAAGCCCGAGATTCTATTGTTTCAGGCAGAACATCTTTCTGAAATTCAGTGAAGGGAATTCTTTTTGAAGTCATCACCTCTTCCTCAGTTTCTTTATCAGCTGAAGATGTTAGCACCTCCATTTCTGAAGGGGATCCAGAGGTACTTGTTTGGAGCACACTTTCTCTGGTGCATCTTCCTGATGCTTCTTTTAGCATTGACTCTATTTGTTCTGAAAATGCCACTGGATCAGGATCAGGGTATATAACTACACTCTTCTGCTTTGAGATAGCCATGGACTCTTGTTGAAATTGAGCAACTGCATTCTGGATTATTATCTGCACAATTTTGTAAGCCTGGGATTCTATTGCTTCAGACTGAACACTTTTTGGAAATTCAGTAGAGGGGATTCTTTCTGAAGCCATCATCACTTTTTCCTCAGTTTCTTCATCAGCTGAAGATATTGGCAGTTCCATTTCTGGAGGGGATCCAGGTGCATTTGTCTGGAGTGCATCTTCCCTGGTGCATTTCCTTGATGATTCTTCTAGCGCTGAATCTATTTTCTCTGAAAACGTCCCTGCATCATGATCAGGATATAAAACTGCAGTTTCACTCTTCTGCTTTGAAAGAGCCATGGACTCTTGTTGAACTTGAGCAACTGCATTCTGGATTATTTTCTGTGCAATTTTATAAGCCTGAGACTCTGTGGTTTCAGGTTGAACCTCTTCTGGAAATTCAGTAGAGGGGATTCCTTCTGAAATCATCACATTTTCCTCAGTTTCTTTATCAGCTGAAGATATTGGCAACTCCATTTTTGTATCTAAACTAGATGAACCTATCTGGAGTACGTTTTCCCTGGTGCGTCTTCCTGCTGATTCTTCTAGCACTGAACCCATTTTCTCTGAAAACGCCACTTTATCAGGATCAGGATACAGAATGGCAGTTTCTCTTTTCTGTTTTGAAAGAGCCATGGAGTCATGTTGAAATTGGGCAACTGCATATTGGATTATTATCTGCACAATTTTGTAAGCCTGAGACTCTGTGGTTTCAGGCAGAACAACTTTTGGAAAGTCAGTAGATGTTGAGACTCCTTCTGAAGTCATCACCTTTTGCTCAGCTTCTTCCTGAGCTGAAGATGTTGGCAGATCCATTTCTGGAGAGGATCCAGATGTACCCATCTGGAATGCAACTTCTCTGGTGCATTTTTCTGCTGATTCTTCTGAAAATTCAGTACAGGGTATTCCTTCTGAAGTCATCACCACCTTTTCCTCAGTTTCTACTTCTGATGAAGATTTTGGCAGCTCAATTTCTGGAGGCGATCCAGATGTACTCATCTGGAGAACAGTATCTCTGGTGCATTTCTCTGGTGATTCTTCTAGCACTGAATCTATTTTTTCTGAAAATGCCACTCCATCAGGATACAGAACCACAGTTTCACTCTTCTCCTTTGAAAGAGCCATTGGCTCTTGTTGAAATTGAACAACTGTACTAGCTTCCTGTGCACTTTTTAAACTCTGAGATTCAATTATTTCAGGCTGAACATCTTTTGGAAATTCAGTAGAGGAGATTCCTTCTGAAGTTATCACTTTTTGCTCAGTTTCTTCAACAGGTGAAGATGTTGGCAACTCCATTTCTGGAGGGGATCGTGTCTGGATTATACCTTCTCTGGTCCATTTCCCTGGTGATTCTTCTAGCATTGAGTCTATTTTCTCTGAAAATGCCACTTCATCAGGATCAGGATACAGAACTGCAGTTTCACTCTTCTGCTTTGAAAGAACCATGGACTCTTGTTGAAATTGAGCAACTGCATTCTGGATTATTATCTGTGCAATTTTGAAAGCCTGAAACTCTATTGTTTCAGGCTGAACATCTCTTGGAAAGTCAGTAGAGGAGATTCTTTCCTCAGTTTCTTCTTCCAATGAAGATGGTGGCAGTTCCATTTCTGAAGGGGATCCAGATGTACCCATCTGGAGTACACCTTCTCTGGTGTATCTTCCTACTGATTCTTCTAGTATTGAATCTGTTTTCTCAGAAAATGCCACCTTATCATGATCAAGATACAAAACTGCAGTTTCACTCTTTAAAAGAGCCATGGATTCTTGTTGAAACTGAGCGACTGCATTCTCAATTATTATTTGTGCAATTTTGTAAGCCTGAAACTCTATTGTTTCAGGCTGAACATTTCTTGGAAAGTCAGTAGAGGGAATTCCTTCTGAAGCAATTACCTCAGATGAAGATTTTGGCAGCTCCATTTCTGGAGAAGATCCAGATGCACCCATTTGGAGTGCATCTCTGGTGCCTATTCCTGCTGATTCTTCTAGCATTGTATCTATTTTCTCTGAAAATGCCATTGTGTCCAGATCAGGACACAGAACTGCAATTTCACTCCTCTGCTTTAACTGAGCAACTGCCTTCTGGATTATTATCTGCACAATTTTGTAAGCCTGGGACATTGTTTCAGGCTGAAGCTCTTTTGGAAATTCAGTAGAGGGGATTCTTTCCGAAGCCATCATCACCTTTTCCTCAGTTTCTTCTTCAGCAGAAGATATTGGCAGCTCCATTTCTGGAGGGGATCCAGGTGCGCCTTCTCTGGTACATCTTCCTGCTAATTCTTCTAGCACTGAATTTATTTTCTCAGAAAATGCCTGTTTATCAGAATCAGGATACAGAATTGCAGTTTCACTGTTCTGCTTTGAAAGAACCATGGACCTTTGCGGAAATTGGGCAAGTGCATTTTGGATTATTATCTGCACAATTTCGCAAACCCGAGACTCAATTGTTTCATGTTGAACATCTTTTGGAAATTCAGTAGAGGGGATTCCTTCTGAAGTCATCAGCTTTTGCTCAGTTTCTTCTTTAGCTGACAATGGCTGAACGGTTACTTCTGTCAGACTCACACTAATCCCCTTTTCATCAGGCAATTTAATTCTTTCAGCAACACTTTGCAACATTTCCTGTGTTTGTTTATTTAATTCTTCCAGGTCTTGCTCATTTTCCTCGATCTCTTGCACTGGTGTAGCTATTTCTGTAGTATCAGGAGACTCAGTTAGCCTTGAAACTGCCGAAATCATTTCAGTTGTCTCTTCAGCACAAGACATTTCAGTTGTTTCTTTAGCACAAGATATTTCAGTTGTCTCTTCAATGACTGAAGCTTCTTCCCTAGCTGTAACTGCTTCTGAGGTTAACTCCAGGTCCCCGATTATACTATCACCACTAATATCCTTTCTCATTTGTGGCCCAAGTTTAGTAACCACTACTGTTTCTTCAACAATTCCAGTTCCAGAAAGCTGCTCAGACTGTTCCTCATCATCATTCACATGTTCAGTGGACACAGTCACAGCAGCTGGTATCCAAGATGGTGATCTTTCTTCAATACTTATAATTGCTCTCTCACCTTCTAGCACTGAGACAGCAACTGCATGAACTAATCCTTCAATGACCTGCTGAGTTACTGATGTACTTTCTGACTTTTCTATATTTTGACTTGGAATTTCCTTATCCATATCATCTTGCTCTGATTTTTGAGCTTCAAATTTCTCTTGCTCAGCAGCATCATACTCTGATAAAGGAACCACAGCTGGAACATCAAAGTCCTCCTCATTCGTTCCTGTCATTTCTTCTCCAGCTTCTAGAACAGGAGCATGCTCTGGTATTCCATCAGACTTTTTCTTCCTACGACCAGGCATTAATTTTTTAAATGAAACCCAGGATTCTTCTTTTCCGGTATCCCCATCTAAGGTAGCAGCATGTTCTAAACTTGGAACTGTGATGGGTTCATCATTTTTCTCTTCCATCCTTGTTTTCGATTTTCTTCTTGGAGTTACTAGTCTTTTAAAAGATTCCCATGTTGAAATTCCCTCTGTTTCAGATGGGCTTCCTGCTTGTTCTGGTGAAGAACTTCCTTGTCCTTGATCACTTTCATGTGAGTTAGTAAAGATGGTATCATGTACTGCTTCTTTATTTGGTGCACTCTCGTCTAATTTTTGTTCATCTTGAGCAAATCTTTGTCCAGTTTCTTCATCAGAAGATGAAGATTTTCTGCTTCTTCTCTTTGATGAGCCTACACAGATTAAAGCTTCCCATGATACAGAAGTATCAACTTTTTTCTTGGGCTCATCTGCACTTTTTTCTATTTTTTGTTCCTCACCATTTTCTTTAGTATCTTCCTGTTCATCATTAGGTCCACTTTCGGTTGTCTTATCAAGTTCTTCTTCTCTGTCACCTTCAGAAAGTCTCCTAACCCGTTTCTTTGGAGTCACCATTTTTTTAAAAGATGCCCAAGGTGTAACACTTTCTCTTTTCTTCTCTGCATCTAAAGGAAACCCTTCTTCAGCTTCAGGAATCTGTGCAGCATCAGGGGCCTTTTCTATGGATTCTGTTATTTCTTCAGGAGAAGAAGCAGAACTCTCTCCCCTTGGGTCATCTGGACTTTCTGCAGTATCAGACAACTGCTGTGCTTCTTCTGCTGCTTCCTCTGGTTTAGCTTCTTTCTTTCCTTTGCGTTTCTTTCTTGACATTTTCTTTAAGCCAGGACCCGTAAAAAGTTTCTTTAAAGGGCTGCCTTGCATCTTGGCTTTTTCTTGAGATGACAACAATTCTGCCTCACTTGTTATTATGCCTTCTGGGAGTTTGCCTGCTGCAGCATCAAGACTGCTTGGGTCGGTTTGGATGAAGTGTTCCTTCGCTATTTCAAGAACTGTTTCTGTGACTTTTAACTGTTCAACGGTGGGCTGTTCTTTCTGAAAGTCATCATTTGTTTCCACTAATTGTTCAAGAACTACTTGTTCTTTTTTAGTTATTTGGATTTTTTCTTCTGTCACAACAGCTCTAACACCAATATTGATCTCTCTAGGTTTTTCATCAAAAACCTCTGTGGCCAGAGGAGCCCTTGGTTCTGATTTTTCTTCTATTATTTCAAAAGGTTCCTCAGGCTTTTCTATTGCTACTGGAGACAGTGAATCCAATTGGTTTATTTCGTCTTCAAATACTTTATTTAAAAGTTCTGTTTTTGATTCATGCAATGCAACAATACTTTGCTCTATGCCCATTAGACTTTTTTGTACTCGTTCCAATTTTTCCTTGGACTCCAAGTCAGTCTCCCCTTCCAAGATTATATCCATTTCTTTTATATTTTCAGCCAGTTCTTCTGCTGGTGGTTGCTCCCTGGGAGTGCCAGTTTCTTTCAGATCAGTTTCTGATAAGACTTTCCTCTCTTTCTCGCCTTCCATTTTTTCATCACTGGCTTCAAAAGAAATGTCTTTATTTATATTTTCAGCCAGTTCTTCTGCTGATGGCTGCTCACTGGGAGTGCCAGTTTCTTTCAGATCAGTTTCTGTTGAAACTTTGACCATTTTTATTTCTTCTTCCCTTTCTTTCTCACCTTCCATTTTTTCATCACTGGCTTCAAAAGAAATGTCTTTATTTATATTTTCAGCCAGTTCTTCTGGTGATGGTTGCTCCCTGGGAGTGGCAGTTTCTTTCAGATCAGTTTCTGCTGGAACTTTGACCATTTTTGTTTCTTCTTTTCTCTCTTTCTCACTTTCCATTTTTTCATCACTGGTTTGGAAAGAAACTTCTGACTCATCTTTTTCTGGTGTCTGTTTTTCTTTTTCTAATTCTTCTTCAGCAATTATTACTTCTGTCACTTCTTTCTCCATTTCCTGTTCTTGTTTTTCTTTCTCAGATTGCACTTCTTCTTTAGATTTTCTGAAGCTTGTCCTTTTTCTAAACCCAGCCCAACTCTGAGTAAAAAACTTTCTTAGAGGTGATGCAGTTTCAGCAGTTGATGGGCTTACCGGAGACTCTGGAGATTTAATCCCATTGTTTTTAATTTCTGCCTCTTTGCTTTCTGCTTCAACAGGGCTTTCTGTTACTTTCTCAGATGAGGTTTCTCGTTCCATCTCCTCAACTTGAGTTTCTTCCTCAGTCTTGCCTACAGAGGCAGTGATTTCACTTTGTGTGGCTTCTGCCACTGTCTCTGTCTTGAATTGTTTATAGTCTTCAGCTACATCACGAGACCCTTCTGCGACCTCTGGCTTTACATCTAATAGCTCAACAGGTTCAGCTTTCTCTGTTTTATCCTTTTTAACTGTAAATTTGAATCCAACTAATTTAAAAACCTTTTTAAATCCAACATCATTTGATGGAGATACACTAGGCTGATCTTCTTTTTCTTCTGATTCCAGCTGTTTATTAGCATCTTCTGGGTCTTTCTGGGTCTCATCTTCATTTGACTTGTCATTTAATTCTGGTGGGCTGGTCTTGATATTTTCAGGAGATTCCTCTTCCAGAATTAAATTTGCCGCTTTTGTTTCACCAACTGTAAAAAATATATACAAAGATGATAAAAATTTAGAAGTGGCATAACAGTTAATTAATTCATTACATAACATTAGAGAAGTGTAATCATACCTTATTTTGTTAACCTATAAATTTTCTGGATGTACATTTCCAATCAAATGTACTAAATTTCATGTATAAATTGATTTAAGTCTCACTTCGTTTTTGAAGTGATACATTTTGTATTTATAATAGAAAAAAACAGCAATAGACATTAATCTTAAGAAAATTTCAATCCAGATTTGTTTTGTTTGCTTATCATTTTTTTCTTGAATGTTTATTACCTCATAATTTCCTTAGCAAAGTCTCATATTTTCTACAGAAATGAAGTTCAGTTTATGTTTTTAAGACACATAGTACTCGGAACTAAGCTAGAAAGAGTTTTGTAGTATAAAATTGTCTTTGTTTAAAAAAGATTTTGAGAAGAATCAGCTTCTTAACTGATTATATGTTTTAGGAGAAAAAGCAGTGTGTCAGTAATGGAATCCATAACATAAATATGGATATTTAGAAAGATGTAATATATATATATGTATATGGGAAGTACAAATAAAAAAGATTTTGAAGAGTATATATTGGATATATGGATAAACTATCTTATTTCTCAAGTTTTGACATATTACTCTTATTCCAAATTTTAAGAATATAGTTTAATGATAACTTCCATGAATTTTAATGCAAGCTACGTGTTATGCTTATGCACTCTTCAAAAATGATTCAAAATAAGAGCTTCAGAACTTGTGCAAGTAAAGTCAACTCCTGATATAATTTTTAAAGGAATTAAAATGCTTCTTTTCAGGCTTATATGGAAAAAAGATGGTGTGCTTTGCAAGGGCTGAAGTACCGCACTTTTTCCAAATCATTTTCAAAGAATGCACTGTCCTAGTGTATAGGAATGGGCTCTATTTTGTGTGTATAATGAAATTGTGAAGTTGTGCAGTGTCAGAAGCAAGCCAGTGGCATGGCTTATTTTTAACTCATTGTGTAATTGTCTGTAAGTGATCAAATTGTGATTTGGTATACAATTTTTGAATGCCTACTTATTGAACAGATTATTAGTATCCTGAAATGGTATGAATTTTTTGTGTACAATTCCAGTTATATTCCAAGTTTAGGGTTGCAGGGGCACAAATCCCATAATCCCTAACCATGGGCCAAACTCAGTAACAACTAAAATGCTATAAATGACTCTATTTTATTTTAATTTAGAAAATTAAACCTCTACAGGCCTTAACATTTGAATGAACAAACCTATGCAGCATTTTCTGGACTATTGTCAAAAAAACACATTCCTCTAAAATCAGTCATGCTGGATACCATGTGGAATTTTCGGACAAGTATATATCTGAAACATTTTCAAAATATTTCTGTAATTATATATTTCAACTTGCATGATTAAAATATTGTTTATTGTGAAATCACCATAGTCTAATTTGCAATATCATTCAGATTAAGCAGGAACATTTTAAATATATCAATTATAAGAAATTCAGTTTATTTTGATACACACACACACACACGCTGAAAGCATTCTAACAATTAAATTATAACTGAATTGTTTTGCTTCATATATTTCCTCAACATGAACAAACCATAATAAAATTATAATATATGGCATTTTGCCCATCTGGCTTCCAAGTCCAGCCATTCTTGTACAAACTGGGGAGGGGAGGGGTGTACCTTCAAATCAGTCTTGACTCCTGGCAAACGTTTGGACAAGTTCCTGCAGTTTGCTTGGCAAGATTTTGGAAGTGGTTTGCATTTATATCCTTTCTAGAGCTGAGAGTGTATGTCTCAGTCTTGCAGCTGACTTTGGACCTAAGGCAGGACTATATTCAAGATTCCCAGTGTCTTAATCACTACATGCACCAAACTGTCTCTCTATCCCTGTATGGTATCTTTGAAATATTGTATGTATCTAGACTTTCAGAAAGCATTAAAATTATTCAGTCACTATTTGAAAGCATTACCTTCCCATGCCAAGAAGTAAAACAATAACTTGATTTGAATAACTTCCTATAAATTAACCTTTAGGAGAAATGAAAACAGAATTAACAATTCAAAAGAGCTTTTAACAGTTGGTCATTTTTTTTTATTATTAAGCCACTGGTCCCCAGGCTTTTTAGTGAAAACAAAAGTGCCTGGCATCTTGTTTTTACTGAAGATCAACATTTATTTTCTTACCTGAACCAAATCCCTTTTAAAAGTTTTTTTGCTGCTTCATTTCTAATTCCCTGCCCTGCAGGTTTTGCAAATTATCTTCAAAGATCTTTCAATAAAAATAGGCTCTATTTTTTAAATACAATGTAATGAAACATGTTAAGCATTTCCACTTGAATGCAGCTCTGGCCATGGTGATATATCAGTAATGAAAACAGGCGCTAGGTGAACATACTACATGTAAAAGTGATTTGGAGACATTAGAAATTGTTGATATTGAAATTATGTATGTTTACATTAGTAAACACTCTACATTTCAAATGTCTTGTGGAAAAAGAAAGCTCTCATTCCAGCTCAGCTTTTACAGATGTTTTCAAGATACAAAGAACTAGATTAGTTAATCTAATAACTATTAAAGGCTTAATAGCCAAGGCAGATCCAAACTTTACTCAAATTGTGCATGGATATCTATATAAAGGGAAATTAGCTTAAGAAACCTCAACTTCCTTTCTCTGCTTCATATGGTGTGTATGTTCAAAGAATAATCAGGAAATTATATATATGTAAGAATTTAAATATGCAAGCATAGTTTGAAATTGAAAATACTTTTTAGTGAGCTGCTTTCTATTTAGAAATAACAGATTACAACATTAATGAAAACAGGATCTAAATACTGAAATACATTTCATATTTTAATCTGGTTCAATCATCATGGCTGAAAAATGTGAAGCTATGCTTAGTCTGTTTTCCTTTTATACACTGATTTTCCTATTTTGTGTTGGACACATCATTCCCATCCGCCAAATTGTTACTTCATGGTGCAGAATGGAAAAGGGATTATCTGATGTCCTACTTCTCATCTCTTTTCAGCAACTCTTCTGTATATAAAAGGATTAAAACTGACACAGTCAAAGGCCACTTCCTTTTGGACTGTTCATGCTAATTAACCACAGCATTCTCCCAATGCCTTTTAAAGTGTGGTTCCTTTCAATATAGATATATTAATATATATGAAATGCAAATTATTGATATTATGCGCTCTTCCCTTTTTATTTTGTCTGTTGTTCATCTTCCTGTCTCTTTCTCTGCTTTAACCATTTTTTGCCCCGTTTGCCAGTTAACTGTTGATAAACTGCTGATACCTAATAAACAGCAAGCTAAATTTTTGAACTAAGTGTTAAATTTCTGAATTAAGTGTGTGCTCAGTCTGATCCGAATAAATGGAAATGACTGGGGATGAGCTGGATGCAAACTTAAGTGGAGATTACCAGTTTATTTATTGCTTTTATATCCTGCCTCTTTAGAAAAACTCAAGGCTTCGAATAATAAAACTAATAGGGAAAACAGAATTATAATTAAACATAATTAAACATAACTGAATTGGAACTACATTAATAAAGAGACAACCAACTATTATAATCATTTCGGCAGATACACGTTTAAATAATTGCTCACCTAAATAAAATGCAAGTAGGAAAATAAAGAAAAAGGAAGCTTGATGGTCCTTGACAAAAGTTTCTAATTATGAATACAGCCACTGAAAACTCATGGTGGTAGCATTAAGTAAAAGCCAAGAGGGCTGGCACACTAAAAAGAAGCCCAGGAAGACTTGTAACAGAAAAAGAAAAGAAAGAAAAAGAAAGAAAACCAAATAGTACCTAGCGATGTTGCTCGAGCAAGAGATCACATGCTTCATATAATAAATCCTAATCCCTGAGTTGGTCTATTTGGCCAAGGAAACAAACAAACCAGAAGAATGATGTCAATTTCTGCCACTCCAATGATATATTTCATGGCTAACAGACTCTTCAAACAACTACTAAACCAACAACTCTATAAACGTACATCACCCAAACGAGTCCACAGAAATTAGTATTGATAAAAGGAGGTGGAATAACTCTGTTATAACAGCAAAGGTGTGGCCAAAGGCTGAATGTGGGATGTGTTCACAAACTGCCCGTGTTCAAATTCCAAGTCAAGCTAAAGTGGGAGAAAGCCAGTTTCCATGGTATGACTTTGATCATATATCCCCACCATTTTCAAGGAGAACATCAAAAATTGTTTTGAAGTCCTGAACCTCCTTGATAGGGAATCAGAGGAACTGTGGAATGAACTTAGGAATTTCTTAAGATTAATATGAAAAGAGGCTGCCAAAGGCGTAGCAATAGAAAAACTAAACTGGACATAAGAACAAATAGTGGAAATTGACATGACGGGAAACCAAAGCCAAAAACACTCAAAGATCACAAGAAGGAACTTAAAAAAAAGAATTTCAGACTTGTTAGAACAAGCAAGAAACAGTACTGCCATGATATCTCAACAGTTATCAAAGATGAAAAAGAATGGGGTGGGGGTGGGGAATGAGGAAAGTTTTCCAAAAGATCTCTGAAGTAAAAAGGTAGTCCAACTTTGAATATGTATGCAAAACATCAATGGATAGATATTAAATCGTTCAGACATGATTTCACAACTAGAGGAATAAACCTGTAGTATGCTGCTGTCAAGACGACTCTTATCAATCAGAAAGGTCGGCAGGTCAAATCCCTAGTGCCGTGTAACGGAGTGAGTTCCCGTTACTTGTCCCAGCTTCTGCAACCTAGCAGTTCGAAAGCATGTAAAAATGAAAGTAGAAAAATAGGAACCACTTTGGTGGGAAGATAATAGTGTTCCGTGCGCCTTCATTTAGTCATGCCGGCCACATGACCACAGAGACGTCTTTGGACAGTGCTGGCTCTTCGGCTTTGTAACGGAGATGAGCACCACCCCCTAGAGTTGGAAACAACTAGCACATATGTGCGAGGGGAACCTTTACCTTTATGC